GAGCACTGACTTTGTAATGTACAAAATCAGTGCTTCTTGCGCAAATACTTTCACGCTCCTGCTCGGGAAAAAGCCCTCTTGTGCAAGAATACTTGCGCAAGAGGGCCAGTGTAGACAGGGAAGAACTATTTTGCGCAAAAAAGCCCCGATGGCTAAAATGGCGATCGGGGCTTTCTTGCGCAAAATCGCTTCTAGACTATCCACGGATGCTTTTGCGCAAATGCACTTTTTGCGCAAAAGCATCCGTGCCAATCTAGATGTGCTTTTGCAGAAATACTTTTAACGGAAAAACTTTTCCGTTAAAAGTATTTCCACAAGATCATGCCAGTCTAGACACAGCCCTTGTATCTACAAGCAATGGATTGACATCATTCAGGCCCTATCAATTTCTTTAATTCATTGAGGTGATAGAAGACTACCATGTGACACATGTAACCAATCAGAGCTACTAATAAATATTGAACAATTCCTAATCATAGTTTGTATTTTTTTAAGTGGAAAGCATAATGTAAATATTATGTAGTAACAGTACATAAGAGTATCAAATACCTGAAGGAAACTGTTTATGACCCATTCATGGAGGAAGAAAAATATCTAAAAAAAATTGTTAAAGTTGAATAATGATACATTCAAGGAAATTGTAATTGCGCTGTGGCATTCTACAAGCAGAAAAGAGCTAAATTCATTGAGAAAATTATTTTTTCTAACTATTTTATCATCTCTGATCTACAGGGTTTTTGTACTGTTTTAATTTTTTTTATTAGTGGTGTGATTTTCTACCAAAATTGTTAAATAGATATAAGCCCTACTGTGGATGCAGCTATACTTAGATGGAGGTACCCTATACAAGTATAACTTATTTCCAACAGGATAACTAAACTGATATCCATACAACAATATTGGTTCATTAAAGCAGTACAATTTTTCTGCAATGACCTAGCCTAATAGAGAGAAATAGATGTGTGATAAACACACAGGCATGATAGAGAGTTCTGTATTATACAATTTTATTATTTAAAATTAATAAATAAAAACTCAGTTTCACTCTAATATTAGAACTATAATGTCTTCCTTTTTTTGCTCAGAAAACTGATTTCTGGTGCATGCTGGTCTTCAACATGCTGCATGAAAGTTCTCACATGATTCCTTTGCTTTCTGTAGAGGAGCCTTCTACTTTACAAAGAGCTCTGTTTTACTCTTGTCTTCACAACAAATTTACGACTGCATAGGAATTTCTTTTTGATGTCCCATTACATTATAAATCAACATATTACATGATGCACAGGTCCATAGTCCTGGGGGAATTCTGCAATTGTTGATTTTGGAGCCATAGTAAAATTGCTGAATCCCCCCAGGACCGATAGGAGATAGAGGCAGCAGATAGTTTTGCGGTAGCAGGACTGTTCCTCTCTTCTGAAGGTAGCAGGTTTGTGCAAGACAGTGGTGGTGATTCTGAAAGTTGCCAGCCCACTATGCTCTCCTTCGCTCTAAATTCAAACAGACTGTAGGGAGACACTGTTGATAACTCATATGTCCCTTAGGAGATAGATCCTTCTGTTTAACAAGCCCTGCTAACCCATTCATCCTTTCCTTTCTTTTGTTGTATAAAATGAATTTTTTAAACTCTGAACTTTGTTTTAAACTGAATTCAAAGTAAATTCAAAACAATATTATTTGATGGGATTAATAATTTTAAAAGGGATTTATTTTCTGATGCAATGTTGAAATTCCAAATAACTTTAGAAAGATACTTTTGTTTCCTTTGGGAGGGACTATCTCTTTCTAGTACCAGAAGCAAAAAACAACACATGGTATGTATAAATGGCTCTTCTGTGCAGTGTGTAACAAAAGTATTCTTGAAGCAATACATTATTTGTCACAGATGATAATTAAATCCATAGGCTAGTAAAAAGCATGTAACATGTTTGCGCCCAGTTAGAAACTAGCATATTAATTTGGCATTTACATCAGCGCTCAACATATTAACTTTCACTATAGTGTGTCAATGGAATAGTGGCAAATTTATAAACAGTCACGTGTGCACACCTGTAATTATGCTGTCCTCAACACAGGATTACGGTCCTGCTTCTCATCCTTAGATTTGGAGGAGATAGTACCCTTCCCAGATGCGCAACTCTCAGCCCCCAGTAAACCTCATCTATTGCTATAGTTTAACTAAATCTATTTAGCTGGCTGGACAAAATACATTTTATATTAACATATAATACCCTTAAACCTGAATCCCAATAAATGATAGAGCCAAGGTGGGTGAGATAATATCTCCTATTGGTCCAACCTCTACTGGACAATATATTATTACAAGGCAATGAGAGAAACTGAAGAACTTGATTTCATTTACAAGTTTGACACCTGCAACAGAGGTTTAAACAAAGACCTTAACTGGATGGCCTGCTACATTCCACACCTTAATGACATAAAAAGGCAAGCACTGGTACTATCAGCCTCATTATCATGGACACTAATTGACAATATTTTTTCCTTCTCCTGCCCTCCCCATCCTTTCTCTTTCTCTGTTATTTATTTGTCCCTTGGACACCTTAACTCCATTCATCTGAAGAAGTAGGTTCTGCCCACGAAAGCTCATGATATCATCGACCTGTTTTTGTTAGTCTCTAAGGGTGTGTCTAGATTACCGGGATTTTTTGAAAAAAGTGGCCTTTTTTCAAAAAATCTTTACCTGCATCTAGACTGCAGACGCATTCTTTCGACAGTAAACTGAAAGAACACGGCAGTTTTTTCAATCACGGTAAAACTCTTTTTACGAGGAATAATGCCTTTTTTTGAAAGTACTCTTTCGAAAAAAAGGCGCTATTGAATGCAAACTGTGCTTTTTCAAAAGGGAGCATCCAGAGCGGCTCGCCTTTTTGAAAAATCTGCTTGTAGTCTAGATGCTCTCTTTCGGAAGAGGCTTTTACGAAAGGTTCTTTTGAAAAAGCCTCTTTCGAAGGAGGCTTGTAGTCTAGACGTAGCATCAGGGTGTGTCTAGACTACAGGGTTTTTTTGAAAAAAGTGACCATTATTCAAAAAAACTTCCCCTGCATTTAGACTGCTGCCTCATTCTTTTGGAAGTAAATTGAAAGAATGCAGCAGTTTTTTCGACTGAGGAAAACCTCATTTTACGAGGAAGAATGCCTTTTTTCAAAAGCGCTGTTCGAAAAAAGGTGTTATGTAATGCAAACTGCTTTCAAAAAAAAGCGCTATGTAATGCAAACTTCCTGGGTGTTCTCTTTCAAAAAAGCAGCTTGCTTTTTCGAAAGTACTGGTTGTAGTCTAGACACTCTTTTTTGAAAGAGGCTTTTTTGAAAGTATCTTTCAAAAAAAGTATCTTTCAAAAAAGCCTATTTTGAAAGAGGCTTTCAGTCTAGATGTAGCCTAAGATGCTGCAAGACTATTTGTTGTTTTTTAAGTTTACTCTCCTGGTGTGAAAGACGAGCTTTTGAGTTACACACACTGCTTTCTTCAGGTCTACGAAGGGTACTCAGGCTTTGTCAACATTTAACAGTTTAAAGAGCAACCACAGCAGCGCTTTAAAATGAAAGTGTGGCCACGGCACAAGTGCTGGGAGAAAGCTCTCCCAGTGTTCTATGTAAGCAACCTCTGCAAGGGGAGTAGCTAAGGGTATGTCTACACTACCACCCTAGTTCGAACTAGGGTGGTAGTGTAGACATACCCTTAGCTACTCCCCTTGCAGAGGTTGCTTACATAGAACACTGGGAGAGCTTTCTCCCAGCACTTGTGCCGTGGCCACACTTTCATTTTAAAGCGCTGCTGTGGTTGCTCTTTAAACTGTTAAATGTTGACAAAGCCTGAGTACCCTTCGTAGACCTGAAGAAAGCAGTGTGGCCGCGTGTAGCCGCGCAGCACGGAGTCCGCACTAGCGGACATTTAAAAATGGCGGCACCCGGCTTTATGCAAATGAAGCCCGGGAAATTAAAATCCCGGGCTTCATTTGCAACTCCGGTTGCCTACATTACCACCTTAGTTCGAACTAAGGTGGTAGTGTAGACATACCCTAACAGATAACTGTAGCCTGGTTCATTTGCACTGGTGCTTTACAGCACTGTAACTTCCTGCATTGGCGGGGGGGGGGGGGTGTTTTCATACCCCTGAGTCAGAATTTATAGTGCAGTAATGTGCTAGTGTAGACTTGGCCTAAGAGCTCCATCTTAAATACAAGGTGGAACAGATTGCTTAGAATAAGTAGCTAGCACATACTGTAAGGCAGTGGTGCACAACCTATGGCTGTCTTCCTGGGGGGTTGCAGTGGCCGGCCAGCATTTTCTTTTCCTGGCTTGGCACCTGACGTACACGCGGGGGGAGTGGAAAGGGAGCAGACCGGTGCTTTAAATTAAAGGGACGGCAAGAAAATGTTCCCGGCATTTTTTGTTTGTTTGTTTGTTTTTCGCTGAACAAAAATTGTCCCGTCTCTGGGGGTCGTGAATGAAAAAAGATTGAGCACCACTGCTGTAAGGGACCATTTGAGGTAGAGTGGCCCGTTAATAGCTCTGCAGTCACAGGACAAAAAGAGGGAGTTAGAGCATTACAGGAAGTTCTAATAAGCCATAAATTCAGCGTGTCTTCAGTCCATAATGTTTAATGTCTGGCAAAATAATGAATTTAAGCTCCAATGCTCATCTTTTGAAAGAGTTGATCATTAGGGATTACTGTTATTATCCTTTAATTTTAAAAATTCAATTAACACACCTCATCTTACCAACATTCTCTCTGTTATTAGCTGGCCAGTTTCTAGCACGCATCACAGAAAAAAATGGTTCTGCGGGAAGAATATGCAAGAGGATAGAATAGTGGCCTTACAGATCAGTTTAAGGAGGACATTCTGTACACATGGGGTAGTGAAGAAGAAAAAGGCGTGGGACATTTGTGTGAGACGCTGATAAATGTGAGGACGAGGCTAGCATCAATGGCAGAGCTGAGGAGGCTGGGGTGATGTGATAAGAGACAAGTGTGAATAAGACGGCGGGGGAGGGCTGTCATGGACCTTGAAGCTGAGGGGAAGAAGCTTATAATTACAACTGATGCTGTGAAACAGGAGGAAGGGGGTGGAGGGATTTAAAGAGTGGGGTGAAATGATCAGCGCAATGAGAAAAGGCAAAGAGAAATCCCTAATGACCTCTAATCACATGCATAAACCAACCCCATCTTCTAAACAGAGACTGAAACCAACCATTCCATCTAGGAACTGAGGTCTGTGTTACTTCCCAGAAGTGAGTCTGTCCATCGGCACTCTTGACTGCTGGCTGCACTTCTGATTTTAATGCTCTTGTGGGCTGACAGGGGACTTGTCCAATATGACACCAGCAAGCAGACCTACCAAAAGCCAAAGCAATAAATAACAGCTTGTTTGCAGCGTGAACTTTTCCTATGCCTTTTGGAGTGTAGCAGCCCACCAGCCAGCTGTCTTACATGGGCCAGGGGACTGAAGGCAGGGCTTCAAGCCAAATATTCAGATAGTCTAATCCAAGCTCTACTGCTGCCTTGCTCTATGGCTTAGTTGGGCAAGTCACAGGCAGTTGATTTTTTCAGAAACATCCGCTAAGTTGGCCACCTCCATTTTTGAGGTGTCCAACTATGGGCGCTGACTCCTCCCCTAGCTGGCTAGGGGCTGATCGATGCCCTCTTTGCCCCCACCCCCACTTCACCCCTTTCCCTGAGTCCCCACCCCCATTCCACCTCTTCTCCCAAGCATGCCCCATCACTACTCCTCCCCGTCTTTCCTGGAGCTTCCTGAATGCCATGAAACAGCAGGTAGGAGGTGCTGGGAGGGCAGGGGATGAATTGGTCAGTGGGGCTGCTGGAGGGCAAGACATTCTTGGGGGCGAGAGGGAGAGGGGGGCAGAGAAGAGAGCTTGGCTGCTGGTGGGTGCTAATTTTTCCTCATGGCTGCTCCAGCCCCGAGCACCCACAGAGTCAGTGCCTATGTGTTCAACTTGAGACATGTAGCAGCTAAATTTTCCAAAAAATTCAGCAGAACCCATTAGCTCCTAAGGAAGTGTCTGGATTTGCAAAAATGCTCAGACCATGTCTCTCTACATACAGTTTTCAACGGGAGCTACTGGTTGCTGGCAATGTTGAAAATCTGACAACTTCATTAAAGAGCTGAGATAGGAGCTGAGCTTTTTGGAAAATACAGCTCCCAATTGTAGATACTCAACACTTTGGAAAAATAGCCTGTCAGGCCTAATTTTCATGGATGCTGAGGGTCTGCAGCTTGCTTGAAATCTTCAACACCCCTGATAATAAATGACAATACATCTCACACTGGAAATCTGAAAATTGAGACACGCAGAATTACTGAATGTAACTGAAAAGATTGTTCTTCATATTTGCTTGTTGTGGGAAATTCATTAATGTAAAATTTTCAGAAGCACCAAACTGAGTTAGCCTCCTGGTCCCATTTACATATTGGCAGAAGGCAGTTATGAGCCTAAATCTTATTGGAAGGCAGTGGGATTTAGACTCCCTAATTTATTCCCAAATTACTTTTGAAAATGGGGATTAGATGCCTACGTGGTATAGATACTTTTGAAAATTTTACTCAGTACTTTGAAAATGTACAAAGTGAATTACAGTCTATGTACTATTACTATTTTGGGGGGGAAAAAAGAAGAAGAAGAAGTCCTGGAAATGAGAAGGGATTTTTTTATATATATCATCTTCCTCAACTCAGTATTTGAGCAGCAGCTTTTAAGTGCTACCTGAAAGGATGCACCAGAAACAGGACAAAAGAGTTGAAGCAAGAGAGATGAGTTAACCTTGTCCTCTCCTGACTCAGAATGGCATTTGCAGGAGCCATCTTGGGAGGACAGAGAGCAGAGGCATGGCAGCCATACCAAACTCTGCCTTCAACAAATCCCTGACATGGAGAACACTAGCCGTGCTACCAGGAGGATGCTGGGTCCAAGGTTAAGAGGAATGTATAGGCTAGCCATTGCAGACCTGAGACATGATTTTGCACAAGAAGAACTGACCAGATCTGTACTTGCATAGTTTCAGAGGAAAAAAAGGTGCAGTCATTCTCCAACCCACAGCAGCAATGCATGCTTGACCCTGAGAGCTCCACCCGCCAAATTACTGTGTTCCAGAAGGGCTAGTATCCGGGTGGGTGAACAGATTCTTCAACTCATCTGCCCTGACTGGATAGATGTAAGCAGTCCCAGCGGCACATCTCTGCAATTCTGAACTACTATTAGATGGGCTCTTGGACAATATGCTTATAGAGAAAGGGCCTGAATCTGAACTGTCTTTTGTCTTGAATTGTCAGCAGCCGTGTTACAAAGTAAGTGTAAACACAGGAATGGCTGTACACTTGTTCTGCAGATGTGTAAATCAGGGCTACTCAAAATGTGAGCTGCATGCGGCCCACAGCTCATCTGTTTGCAGCCCACAGTGCGGTTTGGGTTTATGCAGGGCTCAACATGCAGCCCACGGGTGGGAGCCAAAACAAAAAAGTAGTCAATATAATGGTCTTCCGTTGATATGTGTTTCAGTAGTTAAATTCCTGGACTGTCATTGCTCATTAAAAGTGCTGTCATATGGGTGGAAATGGGGTAAGTATTGCATTTTATTAATATCAACAGAACTGACTTAAATGGGGCCTGCGTGTTGTGTAGTCTTGCCTTAATCTTTGTATTCATGCCCGTCAGTGTGAAAAAAGCTATTTGCATATATTTGCATATATATTTGCATGAATATGCAACCACACTTAAGTTGCGGCCCTCGGCAAGTGCTGTGAGTATCATTGTGGCCCCCGGGGCTTTCAAAGTTGAGTAGCCCTGGTGTAAATGATTATGTGAGATACAAGGCAGTGATGATTTGAGCTCTATATACTATTCAGGTCATTTCTTGGCTTTTGTAAATTAGCCTAACTCCTTAGATAGCAATGGAGCAATCCCAGTGTAACCAGCTGAGAATCCAGCTTCATATTTCTGTCTCTACACCTCTGTTGTGAAGACCCATTGCAGGCAGCAGCTTTGATTCCCTGAGCTCTGATGTAGGCAGTTCTCATCACATGACTGAGGTCTACGATCTCTGTTTTTACTGCTAATTTATCTACTGGAGCTCTTTTTACAAATAACAGCTAAAGATCTTCAGGTCCCTCTGCTGAGGTAGAGGGGGGCTAGGGTGTCTAACAAATACATAATTTTCTTCTCACTTCATTGTTCCATCTCCATCTGAAATGGCAGGGGGGGTGGCAATCAGTGACACGGCAGCTGGTCAGAGCCGAACACCAAGTCATCGATCGGCTCCAAATCAATTTGCACACCACTCCTGTGAAGGCTACCTGCCATTTCAGACAAAGAGGGAATGGTGAAGTGAGAAGAAAATTGCACAGAAGTATACTGGGACCTCTCTAAATAATCTGAGAGGTCACTTACTAGCTGCCCTTTCCTTCTTGTTTGTGTGACTGTGCTATAGATGAAAGTATGTGATGGGGCTATACTGCTATGTCTTGTTCCATGGCTTCGATGCTATTGAAAGGAAACATAAAATAGCTCTGGGAGAAACACTGATGAGTGGCAGATAGCCTGAATAACACACACTGGGTCGGATTCTCTGTTGCCTGGCACCTTCTGTATTAGCTACTTACACTAGTCCAAAGTGGTTGGAAGGCTCTGCCATTCTTAGCTGCTCCGGTGCAAAAACAATGACCCAGGTTGACAGACAATGGAGAATTAGCCCTTTAGTTTCCAAACACACATGTTTTAATAATACAGATGTTATGCATGTCTGGAAGGCTTTCCATCTGCAGATGTTGATGCGCTTTATAAGCATCCATTTGAATTAAGACTCCCAATACTGATGTCAGGTTGAGGGGCATTATTACTCCCTCACCCCGGTAACAAGATGTGTGCCAAGCATAACCACTTAGTAACTTTGGTTTGATAGTACATCCCTTTCCCCCTTCTTTTGTATCTTCATGTCGAATTTGGACTGAAGTCTCGGGCATTTACCTAGGCCCCAATTTCAGTGCAGAGCCCAGTGTAGGGACCAAAGGGGGCAGGTTGTGTTCTCCTCTCTTGAGGCTGCCACTGGTCAGTTTGGCCCAAGGACAGGTTCATAGGGCCATGAAGGAGGCCCTGACTAATGGTCCCCTTGTCATGGCTCTGTGGTCCTTGCAGCAGCTAAGGCCTATGAACACCCAGTGCACATACTGAATGTTCCCTTTCCCAGAGACTCTTGTACTGACACATCTTGCACTGGGCTCTATTGCAAAATGATCACTTGGTAGCCATGAATCGGGACCTTTATCTTCATACATCTGTGCGCAGTACCATATGTGCCAATGCACAGCAATGTCCATAAACTGCCATGGACAACAATGTGAATGATAATATTATTGATCAGAAAATTGCCCATAGTCATATAACATGTCAGTAGCAAACCTGGGAAAGGAACATTGACTCAGCACTTAACTACATTTAATGACTAGCTCATGCTGCCTCTCTTCTTGATAGCAAAATAAAACAATGTAGATAGCATATAGCTAAATAGACTAGAAAGATGCAGTGGCAGTGAGGGAAGGG